CTTCATCCCAGCTCATCTCTTCTTTAATAAAGTGGTACTCATACAGCTGACATGTGATGAAGACACACTGACCTGAAACAGAAGAAATACTGTTGAATATCTGCTGATACAAGCAGGAAACTCATGTTCCCATCAAACTGTCCAGTTTACAGGTCAATCCTTGATTTTCTCAGTAAGAGTTCATTTGTTTAATGAGTCCTGATCAAACTAAAGGATTTCAGGTGGAAACAATCAGGAGCCCTGGTAAAATGATCACTCACCCATCAGCAGAAGCAGAAACAGACTCCACTGCATCGTCGCTCTGTCACATGAAAATGACTTTTCTGTCATTTGGAGGAAACAATGAATCCAGCAGCTCTTCAGTGTTTGATGGACACGCAGCACTTTATATTAAACACAGATATCTAGTTTGTCACACACTGCTGTAAGAAATATATGATTGTTCTTAATAAATGATCATCTGTTTAAACACGGGCATACTGCAGAGAGAACTACACAGACCTGGCCAAAGTGTTTGACCTGACAGACATGAGAAGACTTCAAGACTCTGCACAGAATCAAACATAAGCCTGGATTGGACTGTACAGCGAGCCAGGAGACAACAGGAGGTGGCACTGGTCTCTGCCGGGGGAGGAATACACTGAAAATAAGAGCGGTTGGACAGCTGGAGAGCCAAATGACAAAGAAAAACCTGAGAACTGTGTGATGACAGGAGACAAGTGGGCAGATGTTCCATGTACTTACACATTTCAGTTCATCTGCTATGACGGTGAGAATATGTGGACAGTAATATGATAATACAATATTTAATAATGTTATAATCTAGTTTATATTCTGAGTTATATCACATGTTCCTGAAAGAGGCAGTTTGAAGAATGAGAGAAATTAGTTGATAAACATGTTTTTGTGTTTTTCTGTTGACTCGACAGAAACAATGAAAAACAACAAAACCTTTCATTTGATTATGATGGAGAAGTCTTGGACTCAGGCTCAGAACTTCTGCAGACAGCATCACACCGACCTGGCCAGTGGACTCGATCAGATATACAGTGAAGAGTTTAAGAAGCTGCAGAACTCTACAGCCTCGTGGATCGGCCTGTTCAGAGACAGCTGGAGGTGGTCAGATGGGAGTAACTTCTCTTTCAGATACTGGGACATGGACTCATTTAATGATGGACTAAACAAGAGGACATGTGCTACGACTCTGTTAGAGAGATCAGGAAGATGGAGCTCTGCTGGATGTGACCACAGAAAGCCTTTCTTCTGCTATGATGGTGAGTTTACACAGATTTATCTCAGCTGTTTGTCCAACAGATGAACTGCTGGAGTCACTGAGAGGATTTAGGTCAGTTTTCTGTTTGTATCTGGGTTGGCTTCCTCTGAGATGTACAATTTAACCACACTGTTTATTAAAACAGAGGAAAATTATGAACCACAGAACCAATTTACTGTATTTATCCAGTGACTGACTCAGTGTAGACCTACAGATATTTTATAAATGTAAACTGTCTTCATCATCCATGTCATTACCTTCCTCCCTCCTAACAAAGCTTTCTGTCTTTTCTCATTGTTCTTCCTCAAATGTTCATTAGAGCTGTTCACCTACACAGTCACAGGTGTAACTGTCCAAATGCTTTTGCCTGTTTGTCTTGTTTCTGTAAGTGTGGACGGTTCATGTCTGTCATTGTTCATAAAGCACAGCAAAGACTCAGAGCTCTTTGGGTTTTGTGGTGACAGATAACGTGATCCTGATCCGTGAAGAGAAAACCTGGGAGGAAGCCCTTTATTACTGCAGAGAGAAACACCAGGATCTGGTTTCCATCACCAACCGCCAGGAGCAGGCGTGGCTCCAGGAACAAGCAAAAAACGCCTCCACTCCTTTTGTCTGGCTGGGGCTGCGCTACACCTGCTCTCTGGGCCACTGATGAGGTCATTGGATATAAGAACTGGGACTCTAACAGCAAAGTTGACGTCTGTGACATGTCTGGAGCCATAAATAGAGCAGGAGAGCAGAAGTGGGTCAGTAAGCCTGATGATAATAAGTTTAATTTCTTCTGTTCTAAACATTAAAAGCACTGTAAACAGCACCAACAACTTCTTATCTTCTCAGCAGGTTCATGGTTGTGCATTGTGAAAGGGCTCTTTAGAGGGATTGTGGGAAATTTATTTTTTCATAGTGCGGTTTTATTTAACATAATTTTTATTTTCCTACATCAACAGAAAGTGAATTTCTCTGTAGAAAAAGCATGTATACACAGAAAATATATAAGGTGTAAGTTTTATTATATTGATGTTGTGGTTAAAATGTGGTGATGGATATATAAAGTAATAATACAGAGAAGTCATGAAGTGTTGTTAATGGAATTCACTGTTGTTGAATAAACTGTTAAACCACAGAGCTGTTTTTTATTATATATATATAAAAATAATTATTTAGGTTGTGCGATATACATATGTCGCACAACCTAAATAAATGTTAGTAGCAGTAAATACTAAAATTGAATGACGTTGTGCAGCACGCAGGACTGACAGCGCACAATGTGCTTTGAGGTAGCAGCCAAGAAAGGTGTAGTTTGTGTCCATGAACAGTGAACACCCGTGTGCACACCTGTGTGGATCAGCGCGCTTGTTTTCAAAGGTTTCTCCATGCAACTATCTGATAGAGGGTGTGGGGAGCTATAGCCCCGTCCCCCAGGTCATGAAGCAGGCATGGAGGAGATCCAGGCCCCAGAGTTCAAGAGTCCAAGGAGGACCATCGGAGGGGCAACCATGACACCCTCCTGGGAAGAGCTGAGGAGAGCCCCAGACATGGGATCACCCAGAAACTGTGGTGCAGAAGCCACAGGGGGCTGTAGTGGCACAGGCTCTGCCAGCAGCCAGCCACAGTGGACCGATCCCCAGGACCAGGGGCCCAAGGGCTCTATACCCCCCCGGATGGGGTCCAAATGAGCCATGGGTGCCAGGCCTCGTCAAGCAGCCTCAGAGAGTACATACCTGAGCGCCCAGGCCTGGACAGTGAGAACCACCAATGCACCAAGGTCCAAAAGCATCAGCCACTGGCAGTGAGTGTGGTGGGCTGAGATGCTCCCAGACATGGAGTCTAAGACTCAACATGACATATGGACACAGACACAAACATACATCCCCACCCTCATTAACACTTATACAAATACTCAGCACTCGCCCAATGTGGAGACAAACATAAATGGACACTGTACACACAATCACACTCCCCAAACAAACTCTATACCCCAGGTCCAGGCACAACCACCCCCAGAAGGGTGATGGTACCCAGACCTAGGAGATGTTCCCGTTTCCCTGGGGTGGAGACAGACTGCCCCCGGTCCTGTAGCTGTTTTTCTAAAATAATAAAAGCACCACATTAAGATATAACTTTATAAAATACCCTCCCGCATCCCTCTTTTTGTCTATGTATAAGTCTCAGTTAGTTTAATCTCAGAATAAAGGGATTCTTCTCTGTTTATCTCAGAGTTATTCACTTGCAGGTGCAGCTCTCATGCCCTATGACCTCTGTATGACCTCTGTTCCTGACGTTTGTCAGTGTGTTACGTCCCCAGGCTAGTCTAGGGGTTACAAGGAACTACCATAAAGGTAAATACTGAAGGAGGAACCGAGATGGTAAGTTAAAAGGTTTATTTCTTGCTAGAAATTCTGGTTGAGTTCTAGTTCGGACTAAGGATTAACTTTAGGGAGAGCCAAGGCCAACATAACAAACCAAACATCCCTGATATGAAAATAAAAGGAACTTACCTAACACTAAGAAAACAAAATATACAACCTATAACCATAACCTACCTAACAAGGAATTAGTTCAAAGAAGAAAACCAACATCCTCCTGGGGGATGTAACAGTGTTTCAGCAGGTGTCTGTCTCTGAGTAAACCTGTGGTGGGAACAAAGCTAGCTCCTGTGACAGAATCCAGTGATTCTGCCGCAGATGCCTGAAAGCTCACCATTTCAATATTCAAATACAGCAAAAATATACTGTATGCAAAAACCACTCAAACAGAACTTTATTTATCTAACACATTGCAGCTCAAAGTGCTTTACAGGAAAACAACAACAACATATGCCACGTGGTTCTAGGTCTAGTCTGAGTTCTGGATTTTGTTTTTCTCTTTATTTCATTCATATTTGTGACCCAAGGTTTGTTTAATGTTTTATGTTATGTATTCTTTGGGGTGTTTAGTTTTGCTTCCTGTTCTCAGTTGTGTTACAGTTAATTCATTCCTCAGTGATCGGTCCTCTCATGTCAAGTCCTCCGTTTGTAGTCCATTCATATTTTCCTTCTGTTGTCTTGTCTGCCATCATTTTGCCCACCTGTGTCTCATTCTCCCCTCCAGCTGTCTCCACTTCCCCTATTTGCCCTTCTCTGTGTATGTAGCTGTTGTCTCCTCGTGCTTTGTGTTAGAGTGTGAGCAGACAATCCACCAGGGTCTTTTATTCCTCGTATGGTTCAAGTTTGAGGTATTCCATCCTTTTTATGTTGCATGTCTGTATCTTTGCAGTCAGCAACTAAAAAGCTATCTTTTTTATCCCCTCGGTCAGCCTCTGCATATCTGCATGTGGCTATTCACATGTGACACAACCATTGTCTCTCTCTCGCAATCACTCAAACACACACACACCACTAATGAGCTCACCATATGAAACACTAAATCGGTTTTAAACTGAAGAAACACTATTAGAGATAACAAAGCAAATTATATAAATAAAACACTAAATAACTCAAAGAGGGTGTGTAAACAGAGCAGGTGCTGAGGAGAGAGTTTTGGTTAACCTCTTAAGCCCCAAGCCTAACCGATCTCCTGCCTTTTGCCCCTGTATCAGGGGGCGTTGGGTTAAGAGGTTAATAATCCAGTGGCAGGTCTGAGTAATGCTCCCAAATTAGCCAAAACAGCACAACGTCAGGAACATTCGTAGATGTCAAAGAGACCTTTTAGGGGAGCAGTTACAGTACTGTGCAGTTCCCAAAAACCAGACTGGAAGGGAGATATCTGGATGAAAATATTATTTTAAGTTATTTATTTATCAGCCTTCAGTTTTGGACCTTAGCTAAGACACAGAGTTTGGAAGTTGACCTGTAATTATTAACTGTTGAACAATCACCACCTTTCAGTAGTAGGAGTACAAAGGCGCACTTCCACATCCCCTGTGCAAATGTTCTGTTGTATAGAAAGATTAAGAATATACGACACAGGCTCAACCAGTGTTGGGTAAGTTACTTTTAAAAAGTAATTAATTACTAGTTACTAATTACTTAGTCAATATTGTATTTAAAATACTTATCTAATTACTATGTCAGAAAAGTAACCTAATAACTAAATAAGTAATTTAACTAAATACTTCTTAAAATCCCTCTAAACCTTGAGTGGGCAAACAATAGAAATTAAACTCTTTAAATAATACTTTTTTTTTTAAAGACGGAGACTCTACAGTATGCAGCGGCAGCATCTCTTCCACAGTGTAGGCTGCAATCATTTTTTCAGCTCACCTTCAGACGCTTTCTGTGCTGCTGTAGTAAAATCAGGTTTTGCTGCTTAGCAGGAGCTGCTGCGGTGTTATCCATGGATGATGAACAAGGATCACTCAGAAGTGTTCGTCTGTGCTCTCGTGTCGAATTATTTTACAATGTAACACAAATACATTGTAAGTAACTGTAATTAAAATACCTAAAAATGAACAGTAATTAGTTACTCTACTTTTTCAGTGGAAAAGTAATTTAATTACAGTAACGCGTTACTTAGAAACGCATTACACCCAACACTGGGCTCAGCTATGATATTTGCAGCCATGTACAGGAACAAGGAGAAAGATTGTCAGGACTGGTTGACTCTTCAGAGCCTTACTGTGAAAGGTGTAAAAGAAAAGGTATTAGTAACCAGGGAACTACTAGCAGAGCTTTATGCAATACGTTTACTATCAGATACTGTGAGAAACAAGGAACAACAAAGTGTTTGTTAAAACAATGAAGGATTTCAGTTTTGTCTGACACAGGAGTGAAGTCAATAATTAAGTGAGGAGGTAGCTGGCAGAGAGAGACTTTATAGTTTCCCCAAAACTCCTAAGTTCATTTAGACTGTCAGTGGTTAAAGGGAAGGAAAACAATTAGTCACATTTGGCTTTCCTGATGGAGGCACTAAACCAATTACAGAGCTGATGAAAACATAGCCAGATCAGATCCAGACTTTCTCGCTGCTGCTCAGGCCTGGTCTCTCTCATGTAAAACTGAACCAGTGGTTGTCCCGACCTTTCACTCTGACCTGGCAAAAATGGGCATTCTTGTTCACAAAGTAGATAAAACTCTCCTATAAATATTCCCATTGTAAATTGACATTGTCGGTCATGTTTAATACGACCCCAGCTAAAACTGTATAAGTTTTGAAGAAAAGCTTGCTCACTGAAAAGCTTTAAATTTCTTTTTGTGATGATGCCAGGCTTGGAGCATGAGATTTCTGTGTTTCTCGCATTAATTGTGCAGTGATCACTCAGGTTGTTAGTTAGGAAAAAAAGGGCCAGTAAGAGAACATTTATCTGGTGATTTGAGATTAAAGCTCGTAGGGCTTTGAATAATTTAAATGAGATTTTTTTAAACTCCAGACAAAGAAGAAAGCCAGTCCCTGTAAAAATCACCTACCAGGATGATTTCATTAAGATGCAGTTCAGATAAATGTTTACCCAGAGAAGGTAACTTGCTGCGGGGAAGCAGACAACCACAGTCAAAGACTGATTTCCAAGCAGATTAATAGTTAAGGCCTAGATTTGGACAGCCAAGTTTCAGAAACAACAATTACATCAGCACCTGTGGAGTGGGTCCACCTTCCAGTCATATCCATGTTAGGAAGCACACTTAAGGATGTGCAACCTATGAAATACCACCTATGTGTTAATAATTTCATAAATTAAGCATCTGCATTTTAATAGAGCAGAAACGAGAAATAAGGAAAGTTTTTCCTGTTGAAACGGCTGCTGTGACATGTTGGTGCTCGGATGTAGTCATTAAAATGAGCCGGCTCTCGTGCGTGGTTGTCTCTGCTGTTGATCATATCTAATGTTTGTTTCCTCAAAACAGCACAGATATGCGATTGATTCAATCTATTTTGCATCAACAAACAAATTATCAAGGTGCTGAAAGCAGAAACACTGAAATCTGCATGACTCACTGACTTCTCACACTCGCCTTCCATTCATTACATACTTGCAAAGGTCAAATCTTTATTAGTGTTACATGAGCTTTGTTCACATAAAATGGAAACTTTTTACAGTGTAAACAGGAACACTTTGACTGACTCAGACACTGAGTGTGAGCAGCGTCACTGATTCATACGGTGAGACAGTGAAGTGGTCTGAATAAAGTTTTATTGTAG